AACGCGTCCCCTGGGGCGAGTGGGAGCAGGTGACGCTGCAGCTGGAGGGCTGCGGCGTTGCCTCCTCCCCGGGCAGCGGCGTGGGCCCGGCCCTCTGGGTGCCGCTGTGCAGCCAGGGCTCAGGACGGTGCACCGGGGTTTCTGCTCTTTAAATTTCCTTCCTTCCTTTTTTCCTTTGTGCTTCTAACTGAAAACGCTTCTCATTCTTCTTCTACCACCCCCCACTTCCCTCCCCCCGTCTGTATCTGTTCCCCTCCCCTTTCTCTGGGCTCCCCTTTTTGTTTTCTCCTCTTGGCTCACGGAAACCTCTTTTCTTTAGACCACCAAGTTTTTATTTACGTCAATAACTGCAGGGCAGCCCCCTGCGGAAGGCGAGCGGAAGCGACGGCCACGCACCACCTCACCCACAATTTGCTGACCGCACCTGCCCCACGAACACCACACAGCCCGACTCCACTCCCTGGCCTTTCGGCAAGTCGAGGTAAGCGGTGCCAGTCGCTCCCAGGCTCCTGCACGGCAGCAAGGCCAGTCGCAGCCTTGGGGTACTCCATGAGGCAACTGTCTGGTATGGCAGCTGGCTCGGGGGGCGATTTTGGCAGCCGGCTCTCCTGTTCTCCTGGGCTGGCAGGGCTTGCTCTGGGTCTCCCTTGTAACCTTCACCATTGACATGTGCTGCAGCACCACTTGCTCTTTCCTAATCGCCCGCGGGACAGCGTGTGCCCTGCGCGTAGCTGGCACTGGGCAGATGCAGGGTCGCTGTGTGTGCCTGCAGCTGCTGCTCTCGAGAGCAGGATCTGATTCAGATTTCGTGGCTGAGATGGTGGTAGCAGTTGGGTGCTGTGCTCCTGCACCTCAGGGTGTGGAGGAAGAGAGGGGCTCCCACTCCTGACCTGGTTTTCAGGTCGTGTCAGCCTCTCTTCCTGTCCCTCAGGCTGTCCTCCTCTGCTCTCAAACTGCCAAATCCCGAAAAGCCTGCCTCCAGCTTCATCCTCAACTCAGCCCCTCCGCTCCCAGCCTCCCCCCTGTCCAACGGTTCCACTGCCCACCCTTCGCACCACCTTCCTCCCTGCAGCGGGGAGAAGAGACCCAGCCAGGTCACCCCGGGTTCTTCCAAAAAGAAGCGGCAAAAGCAACATCATGGAGCAGCTGGCAGCCCTCATGCTCTGGCTGCGAAGGGCAAGGATGAAGTCTCCGGCCCCCCCAGAAAGAAGAAGAAGAACCTCACTCAGGAGGGCTCGGTGTCCCTTGAGGGGAAGGAGGCAGCAGGCAAGGGTGCCAGCGGTGGCAGGGAGGCACCGGGCTGTCAGGAGCTGGAGAGCAGGCCCAAGCAGCGAGTGTCAGATGCCAGTAGTTGCCTGGACACGGAGCCCATCTCCCCCCTCAAGAGGAGGAGAATGGAGGAGACATGGTGTGGAGGGGAGGGCGTGCTCCTCTGCAGACTTGTGGGGCCGGGCTCCTCGAGGGGTGAAGATTTACCCCCAGTTCCTCCCTGTCCAGGACAGGCCCCAGTGTGCCCAAACACCCTGCGCCATCAGGATCTTGCTTCTCTTGACAGTGTGTCCTGGGGCGAGATCTGCCTCTGAGCTGGAGCAACAGAGGAGCTCCCTCTGGCTTGTCCTCAGCCCTCCTGTTTCCACAGTGGCGGCGTGTGCCTGGGATAGCCAGGCTGGAGGTGGGGAGAGGCGCTGCCCGGCTGCCCCAAGCCGTGAGCCCGGCCGTGGGGCTGGCACAGCACCTGGGAGCCAGGAGGAGGCCAGCGTGGTGGAGGAGCTGCTCAGGAACTCCTTGGACAAGGCTTATGGCAAACAAGGTAATCCCTGCTCGCGTGGGTGGGTAGACAGCCACGTGGCTCCTCTGCCTTGAGCCCCGGACGCAGGCAGAGCCGTCTGTGCTCTGCCAGGGCCTGGGCTCCCCGCGGCAGCAGCGCAGGCAGCTGTGGGGGTCTCCCGGAGCCGGGCAGGTGCAGCTGGCCGAGGGGCTGTTGGGGGTGCCACAGAGTGGGGTGCTGGAGGGAGGGGCTCCCGCCGCCGGGCCGGGGGGG